CCTCCCTCTTGCTGCGTTCTCTCTAGCCGCCAGTTGAATGTGGCCGCGGGGACAAGTAGAGGTCTATGGGGCTACCATTGACTGAGACTTGGAGCCCCCTGAACTCATAGAGGGGGATCTTGTCGAGCTCACGATCCCCGGGCGCAACATTCGACACGTTGACGGCCAGTTTGCGTGGAGGTCCATAATCTTGTCCGAGGACGTGTGGCTTTGGACGTACAGAGAGCACCGACCGGGGCAAGGAGTGGGCGTAGTGAGAGCCTACTTGTATTTGGGACCAAGTGCGGTCAGGGAGGCCGTGGTGGGCCTCACGACGACAGGGACTAGTGGCACAGTTAGCAGGGCGTTACGCTACCTAGGGGAAGAGGTAGCTGCCTTCTGAGCGGAGGACTCGAGTGACCCGTTGACCCTATTTCACGGACGCCCTCCTCTTGATATCACGGGCGAGCTGGTGGTAGCACGAGACGGGTTTTTCCCGTACAGCGTAAGGAGCCTGCGAGCGATAGTTCGGACGTTCGTAGTAGAGAGCGTCTTTGGAGATATTGGTGGAGTGGTCGAGACATACCTGGCCTATCAGGATCTCAAGATCCTGGCGAGAAGGCCTGCCGACCTAGACTACATCTATTATTCGCTCGCAACCGGTGGGCCTCGTTGGGGAGACGAGAGGATTCAGCTTATAGAGCTGATCCGCTCGATAGACGACGAGTGGCCCCGGTCTCCGTGCGTTTGGGATTGGCTAGACCGTGAGCTCCGAGAAGGCCCCGAGTACGTGACCTGCATCGGGCGGCTCTTCTCAGACGACTGGGAGAGCTGGTGGGGTGAGGACGCCGGGCGACCTCTGATATACGACCATCAATTGGCGGAATACTACCAGGGTATAGGACATGCGCCATACCGCGTCGAGGACGAGTTTGACGACGAGGGTTGGGAGCGAGAGGACGACGAGGACGCCTGGGAGCCAGACTGGGTCGACCCAGAGAGTGAGGTTGACGAGGAGGAGATTGACGTTACAGACGCCCATTTTCCCAGGATAGGAGTAGCAGTTCGGGCGTAGGAGGTAGAGGAGCACATTAGGGCGACGGTTGAGTGAGCTTGACTACTGATCCTACTCGACCATACTGGACCTGAGTGCGAGAGTTGTTTGAAGGTTTAGCAACGTCGAGAGATGGGGTGCATCGGAGGGAGTAGAGTGATGCTGACCGAGAGAAGGAGGAGAGATGAGGAGTGATTCAGTGGCCTGGTTAGCTTATGTTCTCTCACGAGAGTCCGAATCGTATAGTGTGAGGAAGCTTGTGGGACCCA